AAGTGGCAGAAGTGAGATTTCCGACCAATGGCTTCGACAATCCAGTGGCAAATTCTTCTCTGCTTAATAACTACTCTTTTCAATTTGACAAATATCTATCACGCTGACCAAGCCTCTGCTTCATCATTTAATTTCAATTTTTTCTCCAGACGGTTACTCTGCTTATTTATACTGAGGTTCAATTTGGTGGTTTAATTACCCGGAGCACAGAGCAACAGTTATTCTCTCACGAGATGCTTTTAGTGGTGCTATACTTCAAATTAATCTGTATCATCGTTAATCTTTTCGTCATTTCAGACACTAACGGATTTTTAACGATGGGAAAGAAGTTCAGGTTTGCTTTGAGTCCAGAAAATCCCCCCTTAAAAGCCACTTTGATACACATATGAATTACTTTCAGAGGAAACTAGCTAACCATCGTTTCGGGGTTTCTGTACACACAAAGTACACATTCGCATACCGTTTAAAAATGGCATGCTCCTTTCCCTGTAAGTTACAATCAACGTAAAAATTAAGGCACATAAGATGTTCCGATGGATCAGGAAAAAGTAAATTGACGCCACTTTAGACGAATTCTTAAATATTTAGAGATTTTAGATAAATTGAGTTCAGCAAAATGTATTCTTTTCGCTTGCATAAATTAATAACTAGGTGGCACATTATTTAAATCCTTTGCCAAGTTATAAAAACTGTCCCTGATCTCCTCGTTTAGTGTTAATAATAATTCTGTTTTTATAGTCTAGACAAAAAGTCTCGGAGGAGGGGTGTTCCTCCTCTTGATCACGCGGAATTTAAATAGGCGTTTCCATTTTCATTCGGAGGACGCCTCTTCTCATATTCATTGTATGGACGCAAATTCTGAATTTCATAACCTAAATTGGCATTTCTCCCATAAACAGTGACACCTTTTCCATTCAATTAAACTATTGCGAAAAGTTTAGACTACTCAGGAACCACTCTAACATAAGAGTCTAAACATTAGCTCCACCACTTATTTGTAAACAAGAAATTTATTTTAGACTAATTTGCAAATAGTACGCAGTGTGTATCATATGTAAGACACAATTAAGTTCTGTGGATGGGAATTAACAGGGTGACATTTCTTTCGGATTATTGCGAAATCCCATATACTGAAATAATGCCAGCAAATCTTTCCCACATCCAGACAATCAGCATTTTTACTTCTATTATGGTGCAGTGATTTGATATTTCCGTTAACTGGAGCTTAACTACTAGGGCACTTAAGTCCCTAATGGTCGTGGTTCCGTTATGCAGCAGCGCCTTCGAGCTATGCCAGTGATCTCCCAACTCCTTCCTAAGTTAGCAATACGCGTTTTGCTACTACCACTTATTCGAAGACCCAGAAAGGTACATTGGTGGTGAGTGACCCCGAGACAGAAGGACAATCAGCCTAAATTCTATGGTTGTACACCAAACCTTGACGTCACATCTGTGAATACTCCTAACAGAGGAGCCAAAAATGGCTCACACCTTTACTACCTATCTCAATCCCGTGTTCTGCAAGAATAATACTAGTAAGCAAAGTGGTACTAGACTTGAACCACTTGGGAAAGTCACTTGTGGTTCTGCCCACATTACCTATACGTTAGAGCAACGATTTTTTATAAAATCTTGACTCATTGCTTCGTTCCAAAAGTTTAGAACTTATCCAAACTGAAAGAATGTCATCAAATTTAAGCTAAATTAAAAGATAAAAAATTACGGTTTGAACTAAATACGGTATTCTTCTTCTGTTTATTGATAATTGTGGGATCTCAGGAGGGAAATGGCGCTGTAGGCGATACTTTCTGAATCACAATCGAGCTAAGAAAGGGACAACACAACGGTCTCATTACTCCTAAATATTATTAACTGAATTCGTGATGTGCAACTGGCTTATTTCGTGGGTAGTTTAAAGATAGAAGAATGTAATAAAAAACTAGGTGATCCATCATTTCTCTATTCTGTGGGTGGTGAGGCCAGGTAAAATAAATTAGTTTCGTTCAAAGTTAACGTCCAGCATTTCTGCAAACGAGACGCTCGGACCTTTTTCTCCTGCGTAAAAAACCCGATGATTATTAAAAGAGTCAGACGCTATTAATCGCGTTCCTTCAAAAAGTGTTGATTAATTTGTTACAATGATATTTACTACCTAGATAGCTTATTTTTATTCTTCATGGACTTAATTACTTCTCACTTCCCTCGTTGAAGCACAAACAGTTTTCCTTACTTTACTTGAACCTTCAACCAGGCTTTATTACATTCTGGCTATTCTTTTATCAATGCAAGTATTTCTTGAGAAATGACTGTCGTTAGATCTCTCCAACTTGTTTTGAACGCTGTACATATATGTGATGTGAACGCCTTAGTACTCTTTTGTGCCTCTATATATTTAACGTGTAATGTCAGGGCTTCTAAATTGGCGTTAAACATGCACTAATCTATGGCCTTTATCTTGTGATGAGGTTAAGCTGCTTTGCCTGTAAGATATTCTAGGTATTCCTATTTGCCATATTTTTCATCCAATCGCAAGCAAGACGCCGCGGTTAAAAATTAATCCAGCATTTCCTGTAATGCATGCCATTTGCCTTAGCAGACTTATGAGTGGGAATCGACAATGATGAATAGGGATATTTAAATGCTCTACCCACGAATTGCTATCTAAATTCTACCGATATTAATGTACATGGACAAAACGAACTCATGCAGGCCCTTCAATGAACTTTAACCGATCCCTTTCCGCGACTCACTTGGGACGTGTGAAAGACAACCAAGGCTGTGTGACGTGCTACCCCCCTCCTGAAATGCAGCAAGACAGAAGATCAGTGTAAAATCGCATATCGGAAACAGGCAAAATTCTGGGTCTACCTCTTCTATCCATGCCCGCTATATCCATTTTTGCGGTCTAACATGGTACATTCTCCCAGTGACTAATTCTGAGGCATCATGCGTTAAACACTCCCATTTTTGGGGCACATTGTTAGTACTTACGCTTGTTTCTTAGATTAACATTTGAAAAACACCTTTCAATTCGGTTTTGCTTAAATACAACATCTGACCAACATAAAAAGGTGGACGGTGAAACATAATTCCGCTGAATGCACATTTAACCAGCAACTTCGATTCCGATAAACACCTAGGTTCACCAATGCAATTTTTTACGGTGGATGATTTCTATGCATTTTGTTTCTTCACACGCTTCCTGACATCGCCAGGTGCCTTCCAGTACAGAATCATGTGGACATGACTTATGTCCTAAGGCGGGTATGGCGGGCCCCAGCTCACGTTTGTACTGGGTATTTGAAGGTGCGGGTGATGCTAAATGTCACTACAAAAGGTCATGCTCTTGTCTACTGTCTAGGCATCTTTCACTCTCCTTATTCAGTTGAAAACACCTAAATCAATGTTACCTGTTTTCGCTTATTATAGACATCTGCAGTCCAGGGCAAGTTTATCGTAGAATTTAAATGTCAAATCATAAAGCTAACCAAGAAGAGTTGCCTCTTTACAACAGAGGCAAAAAGTGAGTAACCCTTGGTTGGTTTTAGGAAATAAATTGCATGGGCTATAGTTCTGGAAAGGTCATGCCGCCAATGCTAAAAAACCAAGCGTGGAAGACGCGGCGTACAAGGAACAAGAATAAATTTCAATCAACGACGATTATTCCCATATTTGGGGCCACGTCCATGCACCGGTACACCGCCTAACGTGCATTCTGTTGAGGCTGATTTCGATACTTTGTAAAGCGACACAGGGCAAACAGACCACTGCCATGAATGAGGCGGCCCCATTGAGGGGGAGAGCTCACTATCCCTAACTTACCAAAAAAACCTAACTTTCCGTGATATCTTTGGCGTATGATGGTCCAAAAACTATTTATCAAAATAATCGTACCCCAACTTTTGCTGTAGTGAATGTCCTCTTTGAACGTAATCTGATCTATGAGTCCGACACAATTTCTCCAATTTCCAGTACTCTCCAAGACCCCGAATAATGTATCACTCGAACCCCCTCGACAAAACAGGAACCCATTCACTCCAAAATAGACATGTTTACCAGTAGCAATTTTCACACGTGCCGCGTGTCTTCGGCGCCGACGTATGCCTGCTTTAGACGGTCGTTATCCCGACTACAAATGCTGCCTGACTTGGATATGCTACGCTACGTTGCTCATTACACTACTACCCTTCGCTTCTCACAGTCTCGTGACCCAGACCAAGCAGACATCATGATCTGCCAGACGTAGTCTAGGTGTAACCCTGAAACGGCACACTACAGAAATCCCATCTCAGCTAGTAAAAATCCCTCAAAAAGTGTGCGCTTGAAATGGGTTAAACAGTTAGTGGAGCTTTTCACTTCGACACACCCCAAAGGGATTGTATATTTTCCCCAATCCCTTATGCGTAAATTATAGCCTGAAAATAAGTGAATCGTTACTTTTGGCGTTAACAATACTTTCGCATGAATTTAAAATTCACCAATTTCATCCTAGAATCAAGGCAAGGCAAACAGTCCTAATTAGGTAGACTACCCACATCCAAAAACTAGACGGGGACAAAAGTGCAATGTCAGACCACGGCATGAACCAGAATATGCTTCCCGAAACAAGGATACAAATATTTGATTCACTTTCTCGGAAATGCTGTATGCACAACATCGATATATGGCTAGGCAAACAAGTATTTAGGGCAATAACGCATAAATGCTGACCATGAAACGCATATACTATCTTACTTCAAATTTACATAAGTCATTTTAACGTCCAGATACCTAGGCCAAATGGGGAAAAAGCCTTGAGTATGCTTTCTGCCAAAGCCTTACAACTTGTGATATTTACAAATTATAATATGTTGTCAGGTTCATTTACGCGGTGGTTAAACAAGGACGGGGATCAAAGAAGTGAATAAACACAAGAATAGGTGCAGCAAAACCGTGCGCATTTGTGTGAGTGCGGATTTTCATGATGGACAGAGCAATAGCAATTTCCTCATCACCGTAAATTAGTCACTGTCCACTGTCTGGCAGGTTATGCTGCCTACTAGACAGTCCTTAGGCACGGTTCCTTGGGCTCCAAAAAATCCCCAGAATATGATGACGGCGAGTATATACATGATAGGCAGTGCGACGGCGATCACCGTGGTGCAATAGCTTGGCAGTATGGGCCCCAGTGGCTGCAACAAACTCCCACTCAGTGCGGTCGGTGCACCAGGAGTCGAGCTCGAAACATACTGACTCTTCATTAGTCCGAGGTTAGAGTCGGTGGGCTCGAAAACACTGAGACCTCCGTTCTTGGCACAGCGCAGTCGCAAGGCTGTCCCTAGGCTCACTATAGCCGACGAATCCTTGCTAAGTTCGGAACTTGCGGACCGAAAATACGCCTCGTTGCAGATATCCTAAAGGTAAAAAAGTATGAGAACTCAAATAGCCTCAGTAATCTGCGCAACAAAGCACCAAGTACCAAGGTGCCTTTTAATTTCTACTCTTCATTTGTCATTTTAAAACTCAATTTTTCCATTCAAGAGCTCATCGCCATTACAGGGGGGAAAAGAGTTTAGCATGCAAAATATTATCTGGTTGAATGTTCATCTCCAACTTCTAGAAGTTGTTTGTGTGATGAGTGGCCATAAAAGTGGTAGATGCAGGTGCATCGTCCTTTAGATTTCAGCATATTCTTAAGCCTCACCAGTGAAATCGGCACCTGTCCAAATGTTTGCCAGCATCCAGCTTGCCAAATTTATGCTGGAGCAGAATTGATCTCCATTCAAAAGAATAATAACAAGATTTTTCCACTAATTCTGCTACTGGATCCCATATTCTATTATGCAAGTGGGTGCTAAATGCGTTCCGTTTAGTTTACGTTAACTGCATAGAAGTTTATGCAAAGCAAGTAAGTGAAGCAAAGGGTCCGCTTTCAAATGCTTTAGCATCAATAGAACGATATCTCTCAACACACTTCTAGACTTAGCTGCGGAGTAAAATCATTATCTCTGTATCGTACGCATTGTATTAGGCTCATTTTTCTTCTATCATATGCAAAACCACAAAATCATTCAAATATTTTAGGAAAAATCTCAATAAACACATGAAATAATGAAAATGATGTAATACCGATACCGTAACATATGTTGATGGGTGTTGTGGTGCCAATCAAGCCATAGTCACCCTCTTCTCGATCTACCGGGATGAGATGACTAAGGTCGCAGCTCTATCAGGGCTCTTACCAATTTAGTCGGCATAGTGACAGGTGAAGGTTGGTGCATCAATCCGATAGGAGGAGGCGAGCCCCCACTACTCATGGGATTAGCCTGTCCGTTGCCGAGACCGATGAAGCCTCCACCGGCACCGCAGAATCCCCCAGCGCAGCTGCAGCCGCCACATCCACATGTAGAGCCCCCGCTGCCGCCGCCGCCCCCAGCCGCCCCACAGGGGGCCATTTTGGACACAGAGAACGCCGCCGTGCTCAGTGCCGAGTAGATGCGTCTCTGCTGCTGAATCTGCCGTGTCTTCGCTAGCCTATCTAGCCGACGATGCTCGTAGAGCGTGATGAAGAAGGCAACACTGATGAAAACGAAGCAGAGGATGAACCAAGCATCGACAAGAGTGAAACGAGTCGGAACGACCCCTGCAAAGTGGGTCCAGGTTGCTAGGCAGAGCAGATTTAGACCGCCCTGCGCAATGGAAATTAGCTGTGGATTGCAGGGTAGGGACCAGAGCAAGATGAAGGAGAGGAGAGTGAACATAAGCGCCGGAAATGCGGCGCGAAGGACCAGAGTGGTTGGATTGAAACATAGATTTATTGCTAGACTTGACTGGGGCCCTAAAACGCATAATAACAATGATTGCTAGTCAACTACCATCCGCAATTCAACGGAGAAAAATAAGAGTACTGCTACGGTTTCCAGGCTGATGTATGTGTGAAATTTTAAGGTTGATTTCACTAACCTAATTTCTGCGTAACAAATGCATCAAGGCTTAAAGAGGCATCATAATAACAGAAACCTACTTGATTCAATAATTCTCTAATTAGTTCACATTGATAAAGTCCTAAACCGAACAAGGCTTACCTTAAACACACCCTGAAACAATGCATTATCTTGAAATCGTCACATCCCCTGCTGGTGGCCTAGCTGTTTAATAAGCAAATCAGGCTCATGATAGCTCTGGTGGTATAAACGCGTCAAGTAAAGGCGTAAATGTCATTAAATGTGTTGGTGATCCGCACAAGTCATTCACTGAGTCTGACAATTCTGATACGATTTGGAGTATAAATCTCCCTTTTTCTTGAGACTTTAAATCCCAAGTGACGTAGAATTTTAGAAGGTGAACCCTTTACGAAATGATGGTGTGTGAATAAAAGAATGGTTGCAAAGATAAACCTGATAAATGGCCAAATTGCATTAATAATTAATTCTCTGTTGGGAGGCTTATTAACAGACACTCACAGTGTTTTTTAGATACCACCACTCCTAAGCAAGCATTACCTTTGTTGTGCAACCGCCCGTTAATTAAATTCATTGAAAAAGTAGAATAACATGTTGGGCATCCTCAAGGACACGATGTCCAGTTCTTACCTCCAGAGACCGACTTGTCAGATTCCACAGTTGACACCGTTACATAGGCTATCTTTTCAGCCGCTTTTGGTGACAATGTGCAAGTTGTTCTGTCCTGCCAAACGTAATCAGAGTTCTCGCGATGAAATGTTTCTAAGGGTGAAAGACAGGTAATTTAATGTGCACAGTAACAGCTGATTTTGAAAACAAGCTTCTGAAATTTACATAATTTTAGGTTTTTTCGATAAAGACGCACCTTCTCACCCAAGCACAATTTTCGTTAAAAATGCTTGATTAAAATCCAGGATGGTTAAAAACGTGCAGACACGAAGTAAATGCCTAAACTGATCATGCGTTAGCAACGCGAAAATCCATCAAGACAAATAATAAAAACAAGAGCAAATTTACTCATAGTTCGTAAAAATCCTAAGAGAAACGAAGGTTTGTGCACAAGCCACACCGAATCGGCGTCACAAGCGGCGGGTCTTTCGTTAGGGTAGTATATAATTTAAAAAACCGTTGAGATGTCCCATTCATCTCCACCTCAAAAGTATTATCTGATCCGACTTTAGTGAAAAAAGGTTGGAACGTCGAAAAAGTGGGACAAGTTAACGTAGGAGGAGATACTACGCCTTGCACACAAATGTTTGTACACACTAACAGAGGAAAAGTGAGATTTAATTAAAAATAGTCGTTGTGTTGTGTACTGAAATGCGGGGTAGGCTTATCAGGCCCCGGTTTCCACCTTGCAGGAAATCGGACTATATCCCATCATATTCACTCCATCTAGAGCAAATCATGACTCAGATATTGTCACTTGTCATGATGAGGAGGTGTTCTACTACCGTTTACTTAAACACAAACTTATTGTGCGTATGGCTAAAGCGACAAATAATGACTAGGAGAAAAGACGGCAGTGGTCCGGTGCAGGGAAGCCCAGACGACGGGCTGACTAATCGTGTAAGTTAGAGAGGACCACCAAGGTGTTCATTTTGGACACTTACTATTTGTCCCTAATGCGTCATTTAGTTGAAGTTGACTACTTTTCAAATTAAACAGAAAAGGCGCGGAACCTCGAGATCTCGCGATAGGAATAACCTACTTGATGGGCGAGCAATATGTAGTAATAACCAGTGCGAGATTTGTGGTACAGGTAGCCTTTGCGCTGCCTCTATTGTGCTCAATCAATTGCACTGTTTAGAACACACCATTAAGGTTTTTGAGAGCTGCACTTTGATGCAAACTCACCACTAACCCTTGAATGCCCCGAATCAAATGTGCATCCTAATAGGTAGTCAAAGAACGGGAAAAGGTCTACTTCTGGGAACACGGACGCCTCGTCACAATCACGTCTTGCCAGATCACAGTTAAAACATTGTTTGCGCTTTTTTCTTCGATAAGATGATATTCAATCGAGATAAGACCCGCCTCCTAAGCTTGGTGCAAGGGAAAGTTTCATCCTTTTACTTCCAGGCAATGAGGTCAATAACTGCAGCTTTACCGTAAGAATATTTACTAAACGTAGGTCAAGTGTTGTTTACTGACTGTAAAGTTACCCTCAAAACGCAAAGGTCCATTGCACACTCGTGATGAAGTGACTTCGCTTTTGTGAACAGTCGTAAGACAAACTACCATGGTGAGCAAAATTGCCCTGGTAACAAAAGATGCGTGGAAGACCCGACAATCCCTTTTCAACTCCGCTTTTAATCGCGTTAGAAAGTTGTATTCTAACTAATTGCATTCGGAGTAAACTGCTTTCGAGTCAAGTCTGAGCGAAAAAAGGATAGAGATGGAAAGAAACGAAATTTGCTAGTATTTCTGTCTGCATAACGAAATAATAACTAGAGCAATAAAGTCCGCGTCGTAAGCCTCATCTCTGCTCGATACGTTCCGACTCAACATTCATCTGAACAAGCGAACAGACACTGAGAGGCAGACCTAACGAACTGTGCGTCATCTGCACGATGCACTGCCAACATCACTTACAGTTAGACTGAAGATTATTCCGCTCAAGTCACGTAGTGGGGGATGCTTCACAACCGGTGTGGCAGAAGCAGCTTAGGTAACCGTTTACAATGCTTACCGAAACACACCACCCCCGTACCAGCCACCACGCCAAAGAAATGAAGTAGCTGCACGAATTTAGTATAGAAATGACAGGCTGAATATAGCGGATCAAGGATGGACCAATGAGAGCAGAGTGCTTACCTTGGTGGAAGATTATTGGGCAATGGATCGCCCCAAGATAGTTCTTTATGTTCGGCGTTGAGCAGAGAACCTCTACGTTGAATCTGTGATGGGATATTGTTCACAGACATTAAGAACAGAAAGTTGTGTTTAAACATTTTGCTAACGCTTTGACTAGCCCGTTCAACTCCTTTTCCAGAACGAGATAAGTGGTGTAAAAATCTTACATTCATTTGCTAACTGAGAATTAAACTCATTGATTTTGACACCAAGACTGGTAGTGGTAATAGTGACGACAATATGAAACGCTTTAAATAATGAAGGTATTGTCTGTCCACCTATTTCATGCGCTTAAGCAGGATAACTTTAAACCATCATAAACATAGCAGCAACACTAAAATGGATCTCAGCTTAAAGATTTGATAATAATGGCGAAGTTGACACAAACGTCAACTTATCTCAGATAGCCGACCCCGATTAGACGTTATTTATGCAATGCTAAAATTTGCAATTCGTTTTAACCGCAAGCGAAATGGTAGATTTGCCTATGGCCTAGACGACAGTTAGCGAGGTGTACGTGCCTGCCCCATCACTTATCACCCATTTATTAACTAAACCTCTTAAGATATGCACCAAGTTACTCATCGCAAAATACGCTTGATATCTCCTCGTCCGACTCAAGCATCATCGTGGAAACCACTCAAAATACCAAAAACTGGAACCAGCATGGATTTGCTTACAGTGTGAACAATCCATTTGCCTTCAAAATTCTTCCATATCCACGCAAACAAGGTGAACTAAAGTACCTAAATTGGATTGCATACGGCAAAAAAACGCACATTTCGGACATGACGTAGATTGGTCGCCTACTGGAGGTGCTTTGAGTAGCAGCTGCCTCGCTGCTCGCGGCGTACTCCGGGTCTGGATTCTGCAAAAGAACACGGTGAGGAGGACTAGACTTGACGAAGGACTGCAACTCGAGGCGACGAGAGAAGAGACTTATGTGACGAGCTCCAGATACCATCACCCGCGGCCTCCAGACCCGCTCGGCGTCCAACAATACCGAACCTCCTGCCATGCGGACCAAGGTGCTGTCGGAGATCTTGGTGTCCATTATCGGCCAACTGGCCACGAGGCGCACGGTCGCTCGGCACACCTGAATTTGGTGAAGTGATCATTCCCTTTTACATCTGATCCCAGTTTATCCGGTGCAGCGCTCGAATAAATGGTAGTTAACATGTAAAACTGGACATTGTTTTCAGTGACCGTTACAGGCCACACATGGGCATTTCCATTTGTTTTAAAGTATGACAAAATAACAAATAACCGATTTTGGACTCTAGGATAGCCAAATACTGGATTAAGTACTAAAGACTTCCGAGAATATCATTTTAGTGTATTAGCACGTCAGTATTTCTGCCGTAATCTTAAATAATCAAGTCATAGTTCATGGCTAGATTGCAGCTTCTCAATTATAAGCTACTAAACTGTTAAAATGAAAACAAACAAAAAGCAAGATCAAATACGATGTCTCATGTACACTTTCAAAGGCCAGTATCAGACCTTTGGCAGGTGCTGACATGAATTACTTCCAATAAGAACTGTTGTGACTACCGATTCTTCATTAAGTTCAGTTGGTGAATTAGATCAGGACAAGTCTCGCGACCGGGATGATTATCAAACGCCAAGCCACGTTTGCATATTCATTCTTTTCAAGAATAGCACAATCCGTTTACGCCGTGAGCCGATTCTATCATATTTGCTGTTCATCTAGGGGTCGCGAAACCGTCCGCATCGTCACCAACAGAGAAGTTTCGATCAATTGTAATGAATTGAGTTAACGAAGCAACAAAGTTAGTAGCTGATATTACCATAAGCATACACGGCCAGGAAAACTTAAGCCTATAACATTGTCGCCTCAAATTAGCGCACGCATACAAAGGGAAACTTGGAAATAAAATTACTGGCCTCATGTCGCCGTCAAAGTCTACCTTCCCAGGCCGGTTCGTTGCTTTGAAAAGAATCCCCCAATTTAAGAAAGGATTTGGAGACAACAGTTTATTCCTTTCGGAGGTCAGGGCAAACTTCGCTTTTTCTCCCTGAAAAGCTGTTCAAAATACTAATCTATATGTCCAAAACGTTACGAATGCTTAATCTCAATAGCTGTCCCGTATTGCAAAAACCATATTTCCAAAGTGCGGTAATGTGAAGGACCTTAACTAGGGCTTTGCACAGCTTATTTAAATTTGGATTTGAATCAAGGATAACCGCCTTGAAGGCATCTGCCAAATGAAGCGAATTTCGTAATCAGGTTAAGTGTTTCCATGTGTAATAACGTCTTTTAGATAAATATAATATCACTTCGTTTTGGAGAATTTTAGGCAAAACTAACGCTGGCTAAACGATTCAACAGAGAAATAAGCCAAAAATTGCATTTTTGCGGATTTACATTTGTCCACGCCCGGCTGCCCCTGAAGACAGGAAAAAAGATAAACCTAAGGATGACATGAACAGCACGGCTCGAAATGCTCGATTGTCTGTTATAGTAATCGAGTAAGTTGTAATACAAAGTACAGAGTGTTTTCAACTAAGACCCACCATTGCCTTTTGGCTGGTAGAATGAGCAATTTTTTCAACCCTAATTTTAAGCCAACAACCCAGAAACATCAAGCTCCGGTTGCAAGGTGGGGCGATGCCTTCGAAACAACGACGCGTAAGAGACAGTGGACAGTTTGGATAATACAATCCCAATTATGCTGTGTATGAAGATAGGCAGGGGACTTCAGCGATGGTGGAGGTTAAGAAACGAAGCTCACATCTTGCATGTAAATATCCCACCGGACTTAAGCAAATGGGAGACGACTCAGCCCGAGTCGCCGAGATCAGCCAAATGTGAAAAAGTTAAAGTAGGCACATTCAGATTTCGGTCTACTTTTGAGACGTCTATCAGTCGCAAATTGCTGGAAGAGGGCAAGACTAACGTAACCCGGAACAGCATATTTGCCCATCCTTTTTGGATGACATTTGTAGAACAGCAGCAACGCCTTGGCTTCTGCAAGCGCCTAACTTTGGAATAACACCAATTTTGTGAAAAAAATTTAACACAATGATTTGGGCATTACCTTAAAGTAACGTAGACAAAATGATTCGTACGTATAAAGGTAGATTTGAAGACGGACAGTATAATGTGATTTTAACTTTTTATTTAGTTTTACTACCTTGGCGACGACGACGACAATCGTGATCATACACAGTAAAAACGCGCATGTCCCGTTCAAATAAGGGTTCACCCGTTCCAACTTTGTGAATGAATAAGCACGATTAATTCGAAGAAAAACCATGCTCTATAGGTGGGCAAAAATCCCGAATAAAGGAGAATGGAACAACTGTTTGCCTTGGTAGAATGAAAGATTGCGAGGTACAATTTCAGCGGTGTGTAAGAAGACCACCTACGAATAGACACAGCAACAACAAATCGCATCGGGAGGCAAACGGGGCGCAGAACTCATCGCCCAAAGGGAGGAAAGGGCTTTTCGGTATTTCAAAGTCGGCTTTTTATTAAATTATTCTGATTCATCCTAGCACAGCCTGGAAATCACAGGTGACTCATCATTCGAGGAAATTAATTCTAGATCGTACGTTTAGTGAAGGCGTCATGGTGACCGCAACCACTGAGGTGGTTTAGATGAACTGCACGAAAGCTCCAACTGAGTGGCGCAACTTGTTAATACGTGAATATCACCACAGGCCTATCCAACGTTCTAGATTTATTTGCACCCACGTGGGCTTTGGTGGAAGGAATAAGCTTTGCATTACTAATTTCGACAACCTATTTCGGTGTAGTGTTTGAAGTTTTCACAACATTGCACCACGATTCTCCCTCTCATGCCATAATGGTGTTCGCCATAAATTTAGATCCGTTAGATGAGTTATTTTATTAAACAGGTGAATGCGGATCTCAAGTCTGGAGGGGTGTTAGGTCTTCTGGGAACACCTTAACTATGCAAACCATTCCCAATCATTAGTTGATGCTTAAAGGCTTCCAATGGTAAAGACGCAATCGGAAAAGATGAATATATTTGCTCATTAAGCCTGCGTTCACCCAAGCAAACCGCCCAATTTTGGTGGTAAAGTGGTCCTACTTCAGGGCATTTCATTAATCAACGCCTAAATCCACCTAAATTTTCAAATCCGAGTCATCCTACTCGCCTGACCCCGAAGAGGTCACCTCTTGGTCCATTGGCGTCACACGCACGGTTTCCACACGCGTCCTCTAAGACTAAATTATTCCACAGAACTGGTGGACGTGTCATGCCATTAGCATTGAAGGAATGTGGAGGAAGCTTTAACTAACAAACTGATCTGTAAAAAGACCAAATGGGATTTTATCCCTAAGACGTGAACCACCATTCCGATAAATTATTTTATGCACAAAGGACATGGTTCGCTTAAACTCCACGGAACTCAACAGAGGATGTGGATAAATTATACCATATTTAAAATGTCCAAAATAAAAATGTTGAAGCCTTTTGCGCCAGCATATTTGAAATTACAGCGAAGGTGCATGAAGGAATCAACGAATTCCTGGAATGCACAGAAAGGAATGAGAATGAAATGGCTTACATAGTCATCATAAGTGTGTCCGAATTCCGCACTATCGATTGCAACTGAAATTTTCACTCCCACTTGCTGCCCTACAAGACAGTTGAAAATTTTAGGTGAGAAAGAGTCGGCATCAATCACAAACGCTATTAGAGCCAAGCCAGCTTGCCGCAAATGCTATCAAGTGCAGAGTAAAGGAGTGAACAATCATCCCATTGTAGTCTAACTTATCGTGCTCCAGTACCATGCGTAGGGCGTGAAATAGCTTAGTATCCAACTTTCCCCAAGGACTACAAATGGTGTAGCAATTTGGATAGGCAAATATGCAACCAACAAAGCTTCAGGCGTTTTAAGGAAGTAAGAAATGGAAAACAAGGCTTTAAATAAGCGCACTTTAGGAATGGGAAGATTTCATAGGGTTAATATGCAAAATTGAGGTAAGGCACAAAAACCACAAGTGGATACACGGTTGAGTTTTCATTGCTGACTGCATCTGTTAAGTAAAATAGTAATAAATTTTCATTCGGGAACATTAAGTCAGGCGCTGAAAAAATCCCAACCACAATCAGGATAATTACTTTCGATCCAACGGAACCAACATTGACGACTCTAGCAGAAACATACTTAACAGCGTGGAACTTTGCAAAGCGCTAAGGAGTAAATGTTAATCAAGCGACATTACTTTTCCCTTTAATGGAAGCAGAACGACTCAAGTGATTAAAGAACAAGCAAAGTGCTTACCATTTGAAAGCCGGTTTGGAAGAGCCGGATCTGGCAGCTGGCTGTACAGTTGCTTCCAAAATTGGTGTATAACTTCCAGACTAAAGCAGTGTCGAAATACAATACCAATATTTGAAGTCCATTAAAACATGGAGGTATTTGCACGATACAATATAAAATATCTGTGTAACGATTCACCGTTTATTAAAGACTCCGTGTACTCAGTCATTTTTTAAGGAAGTGCCAATAAAGTAAAAAAACCTTCTCTTAAACGCTTTTTTAACCCGCTATTAACAATATGTACCATATGTTAGTAAGTTAAAATGACAATTATGATAAGCACTATGGTAACAATTGATCCGGATGATCCAAATATATATCGATGGTTGGAATGAGTTCACTGTTGCAGTCAGCATCCGTCGAATTCCAAAGCATCAGTGTTGCATCTCTATCACTAAGTTTGCAACGCGAAAACGTATATAGCTGGAAAATTGTCTTGGCTCATTAAGGGATTTTTATCAAGTAACCTGCCGGGGCCGTGACTCATCAACGCCATGGGGTTCAAAGCAATAAACTATTTAAAACGAAAAATGTGTTGCATTGGACCGGACCACAGATTAAGTGCATCATGGCACCTCCTATGCATTAGAGTGAAACCTGCCTTTTTAGTGACTTTAGTAATGGTTCAGTGAAATAGTAACATTATTTGTACTCAGACATACTAAATGGGTTCCACTAGCCTGTCGAACGCCTTTATCTGCAATCGTCCCACTCTGCTACGAAAAAGGAACTATTTGAAGCACAAAACTCGGGACTGTTTTCCGACAAACCCGGCACTTAACATACGACAAAAGGATTTCGTCGAGTAAACAAACAGAAATGGCATGTTTTCTAACTAGAACCACTCCTTTGAGACTTCTACTCTTTTAAACAAACTTCCGACCGCTTGGATCACAAATTAGCTCTCAAGACATGCTTTAGCAGCCCCCAACCCATTATTCGCAGTAAATCACTCCAGTGTACCGAGTCACGGTGGGCCGTGACTGATTTTGGCGCATCCTTTCGCCATCCGCAAGCTAAGTCTGATTAAAAATCAGACTTTGAAGGGATTCCCTAAAAATTCACGACAAGTAGTTATGAGTTTGTTGCCCCGAATAATTCCTCATGCGCCACTTTTCCACAAACATATTTTAAAAATCACCTGAGAAGCATCCATTTGGTACAGATAATTTAACTAAAAATATCTCAATTAAGTAGTTTAAAACTGCACGTTGATTGGCTTATTTTGGAGACCGAGCTAAAACCCAACTGCCAAGCTTCTCTTTGCCTTCAGGACGGTTTCACAACTAAACAAACCACCGGTTTAAGTTGAGGAAGTGCTACCAGGTTTTATTCATTTACTGCTACCAATTGTTTCTGGTAAGCGCAGAAGAAAATTAACATCTTGTCTTAACCCAAATGGGACTGTTGGAACTGTAAGGTCTGAATAATTGAACTCTCGAGTCCGGAACACCCTATGCCGAATTTTTGAAACAAAACAAACAACAAGTCCACGTCCCCCAGCATTCACATGTGCAAATTAACCCCTACTTTTTTAGAGATATTAGTTTTGATAGCATGAAAACCAAATTTCTGGATGCCGAGTAAAACGTTGCCATAAAAACAACAATGGTAACTCATTTGAAGCGAGTGGAAGAGTAATTGAACCGTTTGCATTGACCTATATTCTTAGACATTTTAAGAGGCGTACACGAACATTTACTGTTTCGAAAAATGGCCTTTTCAAGAACTCATTTTGGTAAAGGAAACTCGAGGTTGTCTAGAATTAGTACATTCACCAGCCGTGTGAAGAGATGTTTCATGCCTAAAACTGGGGAGTTCACCACGCTGAGGCGAATGACTACCTCGTCTTACGAATCCAATCGCGCGCCGGCGACTCGCGCGTCCAGTCATGGCCGAGCGCTGCGCTGTTCAATAAAGCTGGGGTTTTTTCAACATAAGTCGCAACTGAGGCCTCATATTTACCTAGGACATAATTCTGGGCAATCCTCTCAGATTGAAGACATTATAAATACTCCCAATGCAAAATCATCTGGACGAATAACTTTGTGACTCGTTTTGCTACTTATGCAAACTGCATTAATGTAAGAACTAGAAACAGGCTTAGTGGTGTCCCAATTTTGATCTCGTCCGGATTCAGTAGTCTGTCAGTGTATCCAAGGTGTGAATTGTGAACATAAATGGTGTTAAGGCTATTAGACAGCAATGGAGGGCGCAAACTCCGACAGTGGCAGAGCGTTTGCGGAGATGCAGCGCGAGTCCAGTTGAGCGTGAAGAGCCGACGGACTAATTATCCTAGCTTCCCACGTAGCCGCCGTAATCGCAACCCAGAGGACGAGACGTACCACACACGATGCATGCGATAAACGCATCCACTCCCATCCGGTCGTCGAAAGTGTCGCCTTGCTCGTGGTCCCTCTCACCACCCGGTCTCAATCTCTCGAAGGCTAAGCATATCTAGTCCCGGGTGCATATCACAAAACATTGATGACTTTTAGTGAAATTAGAGGGGGCCAATGCGTTAAAATCTTTACGATCAATTGACGTAAAAATGTTCCATTTTTTTATTTCTACTTTTCGGTTAAAAAGACCTATCTTTCAATAAACAGATTCTGCCGAAGTAGTGGAGCCCCTCATTAGGAAAAAGATTTGCAGTGTGTCAGAATAAAGTGGTAACTTGGTTTCAAAGTGGGCAAAACCGAGCACTTTCTGTGATTCTAGTTACTGCCTGACAAATCCTTTAAAAATTGTGGCAAATTTTACTTACAAAACCGCAAACGAAAAGAAATCGCTGTTCAGAAACTTGAAATAATTGCAGCTTGCTCCACTGTTTCCGAGTAGGTGCCAACGTAATAATAGGATAGAACTATGTTATTTTAAACCGTTATGTGAGCTACTAAGAATTTTTTTAAGGAAGGAACTAAATACAGATAAATTTGGAAAAAAATAAAGTGCTTTTATCCTTTTAAAGATGCGACACCGTCTATACTGCCCCACGGAGGGTTAAGGGTCTTGGAATAAATGGCAAGAACAGTTCCTAATTCTCATCCCACAGTTGCTAGGATTCGGAGTGCAATTGGAGTTAGGTACCGACGCACGTCTGGGAGCGCTCGTCCACAAAACTGATTTTGGTGGTGGGGATGGTGGTGGTAAGCTAACGACGAGCTTTGCGTGCTTCGAAGCGAGCGCCGATGTGGTGGCCCAGTCTCTCGTTCCAATTGTGTCTCGCCAACCGCACACCGACAGTTCGAGTCATTATCCCCAAAACGGTCCTCGAACCACTAAATGGACACTTTCTTGTGTGAGAGAACCAGCCAAGAATTCGCAGTACTTAAAACGGGGTCTGAAGAGGAGAAATTTACGACAGTCGGGTACAACATCTGCAAATTGATGGGCATATTCCGAGGATCGTTTATTTGCGCTGCATGCAAGCAGACCTCCCCACTAGCGATACAACGGTAATATTTGATGTACTTGGTGCTAAGTGATTGGACAACAATTCTGTTATGAGTTATTCGTAAAAATAAACTACATCGGATGAGTGGATTTCGTTTAGCTCCGTCTTGGGGGTAGACATCTAATGAAACCTATCGCTAGGTAGTAAGCGAGTTTAGGACGCACAAACTATTTGCGACGATTGGAATGCTTGAAATAATGACACTTAAGATTTCTACCTGATTATGAGAAGGAATGTTGTCAGCACTAACTCTTGGGTCTACCTATTCAATGTGCTCATTCGGAAGACAACAAAAAATACTACTGCTGTTTTTGTCAGTTAATTAACTGCACTAAGCATTCCTAACATATGGAAGCATTTGTTCCAACAAAACTGAGTAAAACGGAATAATTTTAAAAGCGGGTATTCTATTTTAAATTTCATCAACGAAAATTGGTGCGAAATGTCTCAACAAGAGTAGGAGAACCGTCATGACGTAATTGTACCAGACAAATAGTATGGCAAACTAAAACACTGTCTTTTAAATAAATAGAAACCTGCAATGCATAATCATCCTAGTGATATTTGTAACTTAAGAGTAATTCACTAACATTGTTTTGCTGAAAAAAGCATTGAAAACAGATCGAAAGACCACCAAATTAGTATCTTGAAATAAAACCACAAGTTGCTACTTACTTATTCGCATGACAGCACCGAAATGTCGCGCCAAATGTGATGAACCACATCTGAAGGAAGGAAAGCAAGTCCATATTTGAATCCACAGCCCGATTTAAGGGGCGATATTAGCTAGTTTTCCAAACGTGAGAAATCGGATCCGCCACGCAGTCTACGCACGTGTTCATTCGTAAAGCGGACAACCAATAAACGCACAAGAAACCCGCGTGGGCCAATCAAAATCAGAAGTTTATACAGTCCCGTCCGAGTTTATAATTGGTTGAACAGTGTAAATGTTAGTTTGCTGCTTCTAAAGTGAGCACGGGCAAAACCATCGGTTTCATCGGTTAACTTGTTGCAGAATACGTGTTTGCTAGGGCCCATCTAATATGCATGGATTTTTTCTGACGTGTATCGTTTTCCGTACGTACTTAACACAGAGAATGACCCAATAGTTAGACTGCTGAATATACGTGTCGCTAATATGCAGCATATGCTCTAGGTGACTAACAGTTTTTTATTGCATACGGGCTATGAAGGATGTACATTGTCCGAAATGTGAAAATGTCGCGGAATGAACAGGAATAAGCAGTTTTAATAATTAAATTTACACAATTTTCGAACGGGGTAGAGTTTGATCGTAAATTTCATCAATATGTTATCTTTCGTAGTCTCAACGATACTTTTCCAACATAAGTAATTCTTTACAAAATCTTCGGACCTTACAGAACAAAAAAGAAAGTGGCTATAAAGACTGAACCTAATCCATTCAGCTTTGGGTCGAACAGTGATAAATACTTCCGCGAGATTTTTGTGTGGCTTATCCAATTTTTTACTTTTCTAGCGTGAGTCAGAAAGATTTTAGCTTTTGCTGCATAAAATTATTTATAAAGACGACATTCAAATAGTAACCGAAATAGTAAATCACAACTTGCTATGGTGCTTTCGATAGTCAGACAAGGCATAAAATTACCAACATTTCATGAACTAAGCTGATGAATAAAGACACCACCTAAACAGAGGAATAATAAAAATAACAAATGAATGGGATATTTGGGACTCAGAATTATCTTGGTCGATAAGGCAGTTCAAGCTAATCATTTGCTGCCACTTTTCTGCGCAGTTATTCCCTGGCGTTTTTCCTTAGCAGTTTTTAACGGGAAAATCATCGTAATTATTGAGCTTACATCTATAATATCGTTTCACTTTAAGAAAGAAGGAGAAAAAACTATCTTATCTTGACACAGGCTTGTCTTATTTATAGCAAATGGTGAAATTTTGAAAAAATAATGCAATAGTAAGGTAGCTACCAATGTGAAAGCACATTTATTCTCGAAATTGCATCCGCGATGCACATAGTAATCCTATAATTCCTGAACAATTCGAAAAATACCCTATTTTCTTCTTTTGCCATAAAGAAAGCTAAATTCATCGCAATTTCTTTGAATTGTTCGGATCCAGGTTGCTACAAGCCTAAGGGCAATTAGCAAAAAGGTGGTGAGAAGGTGACTGCACTAGACCGGTCTGACAGTAGCGAGTTACAATTGGAAACTAACCGTACTTCCAATCAACCTTACTCCATGTAGTTTAATTAAAATTTGGAATACTTAAAGAAAAATATTAGTAATTTTTTCATCTAGGTCCACCAGCTACTTCTCCTTATGGTCCCACACCAGCCCCATTAGCTAGTTGTCTTTACGGGGGCAAAAAGAGTGAAAGCCTCTAAGTTGCCACTGGTGCTTCTATTTCCAGAATTTTGCGTGAGACGATCGTTATCATTCCACTATGCAGTGTGTTGCCTTTGGCTGAGGCGTTGAATTGTCTGTCTGAGCCAAAGTGACAGCACAAGGATGCCGACTTTCAGACTCGCCTCACGGTGACAAACGTCGTCGCCTTTTGCTGTAGAATTTAGATCGTAAATGTAATCAAAATTTTTCATTGAGTTTTGTGTTTTGTGACAATGTCTCTCCCTAATGGCTTTACAAGCCAGGCCAGACAACGTCTTCGCGAAGAATTCACGCCTGTGAGATTTATATATTAACCTTCAGTGAAAGGTTCCGATTTTGAAAGATCACTAGCAGATTTAGCTCAATGATTTTGAAAGAAAAATAATAAACAAAATGAGTTTGGATCAAATTTTGATGATCCAATCACACATTAAAACTACAGCATTTTACTTCCCATGTAAGATGAATGAAGTTTATCCTTCTAACAGAAAATCCAAACAACAGCTCAATTCGCCGGTCCCATCAGCTGTTCGTTGCGAAGGCAGTAATTTTTTGCACAATAAAAATCAAAGCCGGGTGAATTTTTAAGCTTAAGTAATAATACAACATTAGGGCGTTGACTTAGCAACTTTAAGCAAGTGAATATATGATAAGGAGCTCAGTCAAAATAAAGGAAGAACAAGTCACAAAAAAGTTGAAATAACTTTATCTAGAGCAGATTTTTAGTATAGATTTAGTCTCTGCAACACCTGTGCCCTTTTTCAGAAGTGGTTTAGGGTCTCTTCACTATCAGTTCCCATTTACATCTCTGTAGCAAATAAAAAATAAACAACAATATGGTTAAATCTTCATTCTATTTATCAAAAGCACATTTGACCGCAAGCTTACCTATGTGAAACCCATAATTTTTATTAGTATGGTTGTCCACTATGAACCTACATCCAGAATATTAAAATGCATGCGTAATAGAGGCCCTCTATAGTGGTTTGATATTTTGGTTGATAGTGTGTTAAAATGCTTGGGCACCTCGGTCTCTGCGAGTTGTGCTTCTGCTCTGCGACGTAACCTTCAGGTCATGGCAGTAGCCTCTCAACTCCTCTGTACCTTAGTAACCTATGCACCTCTGCAGTACTTTGGGATGTTACAACTTCAGGGAAGACTAGAGGCACTACACCTCAATGACAAGACCATGCAACCGTTTGGTACAAGTTTTTGCATCTATTCTATGATTTTATGCGATGAAAAGTACCTCGATTCCAGTGTTAATACGCATAAATTCAAAGGCGGCTCATTGAGAGCAAAGTCACGAAAGTGCATTTCATCCAAAGTATGACATTTGTCAAGGTAAAATATGTTATCACAAGAACAAGTTAATTAATAACTCAGACTAAAAGTCGCATTTATTTAAGTGATCAAACACCTTAAAGTAAAACAGCTCCCAATAGACCTAGCAGTTATCACAAAGTGCACTGGCTTCAACTTCTTCAAATAAGGCATTTTAAAATAAATGGTAAATCCATCATGGTGAAGTAAACAAGCTTCAGCCGCTGGCTTAATGGTTATATCAGGAACTAAGATGAGAATACGAGGCAGATTACTAAACTATAAAATGAACAAATTTTCATCTGCAGACACCCGATACTACGATTTAATGCACCTTAGGTGGAATTAATTCAAGCTTTCTGCTTAAATGGTAGAGAGATGCTAAACAGTCAATATGGTTGCCCCTGAATAAATCAGAATGTATTAATTGTATAGAAAAATGAGAAAGGAGAGAATCCATGGCCTGGTATTACGTCAGCGGGAGATAGCATTATGATTGCAGGTGCTGCCTTGCCTGCACCCGAAAAAGACAAATTTGCTCGCTTTAACTGCTCGCATAGCGGACGACCTCCAAAGCACATCACCGTACAATGGAACCGTTTTCGTTGGCAGATTTTAAAATTCAGTGGCAGGGTAGCGCACTAATCATCAGATTAACATTTCGGTTAAATCTTATTTCATTGGATAACGCCAGCCATCCATTTCATTAATTACGGTTACCCTATTTTTACCACAACGGTAAAGTTTCCGAGGTTTTCGGCGCAAAAACCACGGTTACCTAATGTAGGAAAGAATGGTAAATCTCGGCCTAATCATCTTGAAAATGACATGCAAAGCATAAAATTACAAATGAATGGAAACCACACAAAAAAAAACAGAATTTTATATTGCGCATGTAGTGTCCCAAGCCTTTCTTGAAGTCGTAGAAAGTCATGGTAGCACGGCATAAAACGTACTACTGATGTAGGGAAGGGCTGAGAGGCTACTGGTACAAACCAGAGGCTTTGCCACCGGGCGGAATTACAACCTGCGGAGAATTAAGCCCTGCGTGCTCAGAAGCAGTTAAACAAACCGCCAAAGCATCACAGCGTGGGACACAGAAAGACACCCAGCTCTCATAATCTTAGAACAGAGGTAAAACTTGTTTAGCCGCGTTTGTATAAGCGAAAAGTTGAATTTGCAATTTGCAGTTGTCACACAAAAGGTCAAATGCCTTATGAAGGGCAGCATTAAAAGTATTTATAAATTACTTAGCTCATTATATTTTGTTCAGTATTTCTTTGGTTTCAAAAGTCGATGTTGTCCACATCTAGCACTAGAATGACGAATTAACTTTTTCCCTTTACTTGCCTTCACTTCATTTAAAAAGTCCAAATTAAGATGCCATTTTGTACCTTCCTGGCATTCATTTCACAGGAATGCAAAGTAAATTCGATTGAAGAGATTCATGCAGGAAATTTTCTCCAAAAAGCGGAGATTTCTGGTTTGATGTCAAGGACAAATGGATACAGGTTTTGTGAACAGTGGATGTAAAAGGCTTTCGTAGGTGCAATTTCTTTTAGTTTTTTGCGTAATCGAATCAGTTCATATAAAACACCAGAAACTAATTGTACTGCATCAGAATTGCCCCAACTCCTGTTAATTTCATTGATAAAAAGGAAAATGTACATCCAGTGCGCAAGTACTTCCACTATTTGGAAAGCAGCGATTTCACACTAAAATTGCTTTTGGTGCAGTGGATAGTGCTCGGGCAAATGAACAGTACAGCTAATGAGTTTTAGTTATTTTGATTATATGCAATGCGCTTTATCGCTTTTAATGATGATGGTAGCAGCGGTTGCCCAGCCAATTAGGGAGTACGGGTTCCTCGTGAGTCACCGCATGTTTAATAAAACCATGCTCAAATGTATCAAAACCTTCCGCCATTAAAATTTTTGATGGACAAATCAATTCAACATTAAAATACCTGATTCATTTTTCCTTTATTCTTTAGTTAGATTTACGTACGACATAATTGTGCTAAATTAAATTATACATTCTTTTAA